TTATCGTCGTTGTCGTCATCATTATTATTGTCATTGTTATTATCATCATTATTATTATTATTATCATCATTATTATTATTATTATCATCATTATCATCATCCATCGATTATCTTTACCCGCTTATTCCATTTTGAATCACGGGGGTCACCAGTGCCCATGTCCAGCAATCACTGTGTGAGGGGCGGGGTGCACCATGGACAGGTCTCCAGTCCATCACAGGGACACATAGAGACAAACGAGACAAACATTCTCACTCACACCTAGGGACAATTCAGAGTTACCAATCAGTCTAACATGCATGTTTTTGGACTGTGGGAGGAACCTGGAGTACCTGGAGAAAACCCACGCATGTGCGGAGAGAACATGTAAACTCCACCCAGAAAGACCCCCAGACTGGGATTTGAACCAGGAACCTGCTCGCTAAGAGGCAGCAGCTCTACCAGTTGCACCACCGTGCTGCCCATCATCATTATTGTCATCATTATTTTATCATCATCATCATCATCGTCATCATCATTATTATTATTACCTATAACCCAAATATGTAATACACTATTATTAATAAAATTATATTATTATTATAAATTAATAAACTTATGTAATTATATTATGTAATATATTAATAATATACTGCATAAGGCCCAAATCTCTGTGTATGTCTGTCAGCAAAATATGTGCAGAACCACTGGACGAACTTTAATGAACGTTTCAGGAAACAGCGACATCATGTTTGTGCTTCTACATCGGATTTAGATTTGGTGTCAAACCAGTTCAAGATGGCCGCCACAGTCAGTCCGTGTCAAAGACATGAAGGTAAATCTGGTGCGGCAGCAGCTGAGAGTCATTCTCAGAAGAAGTTCAACGGGCATGAAAAGCGGCGGGCGACAAGCATTCCTTCAAGCAACGGACGGACTTTAATTATTTTAAAGCGGGTTCTTTTTTTAACTCCGGCAGAGAAACACGACTCCGACGGAGCGCGATGAAATATTAACGGAGGTGTTGGTGTCACTCCGACACGTCTCACCTGTGCAGCCGTCGCACCTGCACACTCTGAAGGCTGAAGCCAAACGGACCGGCCCGGATTGATCGGCCCGGATTGATCGACCCGGATTGATCGACCCGGATTAATCGACCCGAATTAATCGACCCAAATTGATCGACCCGGATTGATCGGCCCGGATTGATCGACCCGGATTGATCGACCCAAATTGATCGACCCGGATTGATCGGCCCGGATTGATCGGGCCGGATTGATCGGGCCGGATTAATCGACTCATAAAACTAAACTTTTACTCTGAACATTAAAGGCCTGTACTCCTGGAGGAATGCATATCGCCCGCCGCCGTTCAACCAGTTTTAGACTCGGGTCCTCTCACGTTGAAAAACGATGGAGCTGAAGTCGTTTTAGTCAAACGTTCCTTAACAAAAATGTTCTGCAGAGAACTGCAGGAGAACATGTTTGGGGTGACTCCCAGCGACCACACCAGGTTCAGGTTTGTAAAAGTGACTGAATTAAAGTCGTAGTTTTTGGACGTTCACTTCTGAACTGCAGCTGAAAGTTCAGCGCAGGCGTCAAACTCCGTCTCTACAACTCAAGAAGCGACACGGAGACACGCCTGAGAACATTTAGTCTGAAGGAAACGTTGTCACGTGTTCTAGTTGAACACGTTTAAAACCTGTGGATCCATCTCTGCTCTGGTAGAGACTGAAAGAACGAGATCATGGATCCAGGAGGTCTAAAGGAGTTCTCTCTGCAGGGTAGCTGGACTCTCCCTTAGAGACAGGGGGAGAAGTTCAGTTATCAGGAGAGACTCGGAGTAGAACCGCTGCTCCTCCACATCCAGAGGAGCCAGTTGAGGTGGTTCATCTGGTAAAGATGCTCCCTGTGTTCCTCCCTAGGGAGGTGCTTCAAACATGTCTGACTGGGAGGAGACCCTGTGGAAGAGCCAGGACACGTTGGAGAGACCACGTCTCTCTGTTGGTCTGGGAACACCTTGAAGTCCTCCCAGAAGAACTGGAAGAGGAGGCTGGACCTCCCTGCTCAAGATGCTGCCCCCGAGACTCAACTTCAGAACAAATGGATGTATGGATGTATGGATGGATGGATGGATGGATGGATGTATGGATGTATGGATGTATGGATGTATGGATGGATGGATGGATGGATGGATGGATGGATGGATGGATGGATG